AGGGACCCGGTCTGGGGAGCGGGGACCCGGCCCGGGGCTGCAGGGACACGGCCCCAGGGGTGCAGGGACATGGCCTGAGGAGCGGGGACCCGGCCCGGGGCTGCAGGGACACGGCCCCAGGGGTGCAGGGACACGGCCTGAGGAGCGGGGACCCGGCCCAGGGGTGCAGGGACCCGGCCCCAGGCAGTGCGGACCAGGACCAGGGGAGTTGGGGATGAGGCCCAGCAGGATGGGACATACCCCAGAGGAGCGGGGATGAACTCCAGGGGGATTGTGATGAGGCCCAGGGCACAGGGACAAGCCCCGGAGGTGCAAGGATGAGACCCGAGGATGCAGGGAGAAGCCCCAAGGGTATGGGGATGAGGTCTGGGATGCAGGAACAAGTCCCAGGGGTGCAGGAACAAGGACCCAGGCAGTGGGGACCAGCCCCAGGGGAGCAGGGATAAGGCCTAGTAGGGTGAGACGCACCCCAGAGAAGTGGGGATGTGCCACAGGGAAGCAGGGATGAGGCCGGCCATGTAGGGGCAAGCCCCACGGGTATGGGAGTGGGGTCCAGGATGTAGGGACAAGCCCTGGGCTACGGGTGACAAGGTCCGGGATGCAGGCACAAGCCCCAGGGATGTAGGGACAAGCTTCAATGGTGCAGAATTGAGGCCCAAGGGATCAGGGATCAGGCCCAGGGGAGCAGGGACAAGACCTAGGAGTGTGGGGACATACCCCAGAGGAGTGAGGATGAGCCCCAGGGGTGCAGGATGAGACCCCAGGCAGTGGAGATGAGGCCTAGGGAAGAAGGAATGAGATCTGGAGTGCGGGGATGAGTCCCAGAGGAACAGTGATGAGCCCTAGGGACAGGTGGATGAGCCTCAGGGAAGCAGAGATGAACACTGAGGACACAGGGATGAGCTCCATGGGAGCAGGGATGAGATCTGGGGACATGGGGTTGAGTGGGAGTTGCTGTGAGCGGTGCCTCAGGGGCACCCCGACGCTCACAGAACGGCGCTCGCGCCTCGGCCGGGCAGCGCGGCGGCCTCCCCGTGTGCCAGCCTCGGGCACGCGTCGTGTGTGCTCTGTGACAGGAGCCTGTGTCCTGGCAGCTGCTGCGGGCACATGTTTTAAGGAAAATCCAGAAGAAACAACAGCAGGCGGCTGCATTTCTTTGCATCATTTCTAGGTAAACAAAAATGTCATTCTTCCCTTCTTTTATTAGTGACATCAATCACCAGGAAGCTGACTGGGTTAGTATCCACGAGAGAATATGCCAGCTGCTGATTCCAATCCATGCATCCTTACCTTTTGTCAGTTCTGAAAAAGAAAGAAAGCATGGCATGGAGCAACTGCTGAACAGGCAGGTATGTACAAGAAAAAAATGAATACCACTTCAAAGGGCTACCAGTGAAATTTAATTAGATCTTCTATTCCTTTATTTTGATGCACAAAAGCATCTGGTACTTGTTTAAATTCTGTTTTAGGGACTAAGGAGCTAAATCCAGTAATAAAGAGATAGCAGTGTTGAGCGTGCATTGTCTGGGAAGGAGTGGGAGCATCCTCTCCACAAGCCTCTTGCCTTTCATCAGTCCTGAACTTCCTCATCTTTGCCCTGGTAGCAGCCCTCCCTGAGCACTTTCTCAGCCTCGCAAAGGCAAGGTTTGGTTTGGACCTGACTTTTTGGTTCTTACAGATTATTTTTGGTTCTTACTGATGAGAGGGATTCCCCTTTCTCAAAGAGGGGGGCCAAAGAAAAAGTCCCCTCCCTTTGTTGGCCTGGCCTACTTTAAACACTTTTCTGCTCAGTGGGGTCTTTTATCTCTGCTTTTTGGCCTCGTGGGATGTGCAGATGTGAATCTCCCTTCGAGCCTGGGAGGTTTAAACCTCTGCAGATTCTACCTTTCCGCAACGTTGATGAAATACAACAACCCACCCTAATACATCTGCTACTAGAATGATCTTTCCCATAAAAAATTAATTATCCTTCTGCCTTTGCCTAAATCCTTGGCATCCCAGAACAAAAGGACAACAGAACAAGGCCCATAGTAGGATCCAGGCAGCAAATTTAAGTTTTGGAGGAACTGCACTGACTACCCAGTTGATTTCTGAAAAATCCTCTCTGATTGAGAGTGCCAGGTGGGATTGTTGGCTGAAGTCCAAGTGAGGTAGATTATAACTGTAGCTAAGGTAGGTTATAGCCATAGCACCTAGAAGCCAAGAGAGTGGCAGTGATGAGGTCAAGGCAAGAGACCATTAGCTAAACATGTAGGATAGGGTGTAATCCCAGTGTCTGGAGCCTGGGGAAGGTATCCTGAGTACAGTGTTTTGTGACAGAAATGAGCTCCTCGGTCACATAGGTGTTCTGGCAGCATGAATTCCATCGCACAAAGCCACTGAAAAAATAAAATAAAAGCTTCTAATTCAACCCGATTCAAGTTTAAGTTAATCTTTTCTAAAATCTGCAAGGAAGCAAAACTAAATTGGTCTTCCTGGGATGGTGGAGCCTTTTTTGCATATGTAGCTATTGAGGCTTTTTTTCTTTTTTTTCCCCCCTGCAAGAACCTTTATCAACAGGTTGGACGCTGCTGTCGAAAGCGCCTATTGCTGTTACATTATTGATTTTCTAGGAACTGGATTTATGCTGTATCCATTACAAAAGACCACATGGTGACCAGATCAAGGGCCTAATCCAGCTGGAAGCTAATAACTGGTTTTTATTAGGTTACGGGTGAAGCAACAGGAATATGGAGAGAAGGAGGCAAAAAGAGAGTCACTCCTTTTGATTGGAGTGCACACCCAGCTTAGCCCATAGCAACTGCAAAACTTTACCTTGACCCAAGGCTTGGATTGACTTCATGGGGGAAAAAATCAGAGCCTGCTGCCCATGCTTTATTTTATTTTCCTACATAGAGATTTGTATAGGATTTTTAACAGCTCTGGCTGCATTGATTCCATGACTTTTGTTGCTTCCAGACAATTTAAATAAAATAAATTCTCAGAATAGTATATGGAATGGCAGCTTGTCTTCAATCTCTCTTACAAGAGAAATCACTATGTGTAAAAAAGCAAAATCTTGCTTTTGTCTGCAGCAAGATTGCGGCTCCCAGCCCGCAAACGAAGTCTGCGTCGAGTTAGTACAACAAGGAGCTGCTGCAGATAAGATTTGGCCCCGCTGAACTGACAAGTGTCAGAAGAGCAGCGTGCAGAGGGTGAGATTATCTGAAGTGCCCCCATCTTGCTGGTTTTCCTACTCACAGAGCCAACAAAAGTGGGCCTTAGAAGCACAGAGGAAAGCTACGTAGTCTCGTGACACTCAGAGGAAAAAGAAAAACCCTTCTGCTGAAAGCCAGCCCAGAGGTTTGTTATTTCTTGAACATTTCTGTTGTACTTCAAACTCCTGCGCAGTGTTTATTTGAAAAACACACAGCCTGGGCCTTGGTCAGGACACAGGAAAGCTCGTGCACATCAGAATGCCCTTTGGCCCGAGGGAAGGCGCATTAAGCCGACAGCCAGGAGATTATGAGTTTCATACCTTGTCTGTGCTCCAAAGCTTTGTTGATAGAAATCTGCTTTTGTCAACATAGCCGGGGGGGTGCCTGCACACAGCACCTTCGAGCTGACAAATCTCCAAGTTTCTGTTGGTGGAATAGCCTCACCTGCCCGCGTGATGTCAGCTCACAGCAGCCCCCAGCTATGGGAAAAGATGCGCAGCTCAGCCAGCTCCAGCAGTCCTCGAGCGCCGGCCCTGCCGCGTGCGAGTCCCGGCTCCGAGGGCTCCCAGTGTGCCTGGAAACGCGGCTTCCTCCGCGCGTCTCCGTCTCCAGCGAGGGAGGGAGCCCCGCGCGCGCTCCCGGTGCCGCCCGGAGCCGAGCCGGGCTCCTTAGCCTCCTTGCACCGCCGAAAATGGGCAAAGAAGACAAAAAACGACTGCGTGGGGGCATCTTCAGAGAAATCTCTAATTGCAACACACATGAAAAGAGCCCAAAGGGTGCAGGTCTGGGGGAGGTGAGGCTAGAAGCAAGATGAAAAACAGCGTGGGGCCAAAACTAATGATCCCCCTCCAGGCTTACTACCACGCAGGCTTAAATCCTCAGTGCTGTGGGGCTCCTGCCCATTCTGCTGCAAGGGGAACCTGGCCAGGAGCTTGTCCTCCATCCAGATGCCTTAAAATAGATCCCCCCGTGGGAGGCCGTGAAGATCCTATGGACGAGGAATAAAAGGAGACTGATGCTGACCTCAAACATCGCCTGTCACGTGTGCCAAGCGGTGTCAGCTGCAGCAGAAGGCGAGGGGAGAAAAGGCAGCCCGAGTTTGCTCTTTTTCCCTCTGCTCAGCCAAAACGGAGCCTGCAAAGAGGCAAAACGGTCTTTGCACGGGCTCACTGCACGGGCCTGCCCGTGCCTCCCAGCGTGGAAGCGTTGGGAACTCGCAACTGTTGTAGTGAAAGCAAAGAGAGCAACCCAAGTGTTCTGGCTTGCTCTCGTTGGCGTCCGTCAGGGCGCCGGGGGGACACGGCCTCCGCGCTCGCAGCCCGGCTTTGGCAAGGAAGAAGCGTTCAAGTGGAGATACCTTAGGGAGCTGATAAAGAGATCGAGTGCTGCACAGGGCAAGGAGACAGCAAAAAACATGCATGGGAACCTTGTGGTTTCTGACTGCAAACAGAAATCCTGCAGGGGCTGCTTGGTCGCCAACCCCAGCTCAGGTGTTGGAAATGCAGGAGGACAGTGCTGCGCATTAAGGTTTCCAATTTTGAGCAGCTTTCCAGGCTCTATAGCCAAAATACCAGGAGCTCAGCAGCTTTCAGAGGCCAGAACCAGCCACAAGAGATGGAGATGGAGATGGGAGAAGATGTCCATCTCCAGGATGCCCACGAGGCTCCTGGCACGGTGCCACAGCGCCCGTGGAAGAGCCGTGTCCTCGTTTCCGAGGTCTCTTGCGGCCGGAGACGTGCCGCGCTGGCAGCACCTTGGCAAGCCATGTGCTACGCGCTGCTGCCTGCCCTGAGTCATCATTCTCACTGCCAGCAGAACCTGCTGCAGCCCCTCTGCCTAAGCTTCTCCGTGGTCTTGTGATGCTCATTCTTTGTGCTTCACAGCTTTTATTGCTGCAGAAGTATTAGCCTTTTCTTCAGGGGTTCTTCATCTCTTAAGACATCACATGGCCTAAGGGATAGCCCAAGGCTGTTCCTGCTAGAAGTAGCAACAAAATCCAGTCTCCAGTATGACAGCTCTAATTTCCATCCATTCATTAGAGGCAACTAAATTCATTTCATTTGCAAATTCAACATCCTTTGCAAAATGAGCAGTTTGCAAACAATTTAAATGCAAAAACTTGCTTATCCTGTCCCCTCATCCTCTGCGCGCTCTGCTCTGTTCTGTTTCCTCGCAGAAATACATAATGGACGTTGCGCAGAGCACGGCGCGGAGGTTTATCCTGGCAGGAGAGCCGGGGAAGGCGATCCCCGCGGGGCTGCAAGCGCTGCGCTTCAGCGTGCGCGTGCACGGTGCAAGCTCCGTGCACGTGGTGCCCGCTTATCTCCTCCTGGCCGAGGCCTGCATGGGTAAGTACTGGTCTAAATAGTAACGCTGGCAAGGGCAAGACCTCCCTGGGGGTCAGGTTTCGGGTTTCCTTTTACCATTTATCAGGAAAGGATAAGCCCTGCGTTTCAACATTGCACCATGTCTCTACTCTGCCCTTCCCCAAGGGCATTCCAGAGAGATTTGAGAGGTCACCCACCTCTCTGAGAGCCACTCAGCAGCCATACATGAGGAAATCTCCCCATCTCCTCTGAATCCCACAGGAGAAGCAGGCTGGAAATCTGCTCTTTGCCTCGGTGGCTTTGTGTGACTCTCAGAAGCATTAAATTCCCAAGGGTGGTTGTTTGGGCTCTTGGTCTCAGGGGACTGCCAAGCGTTTCTGAAGTGGTTGCATCAGAGGAACATCTCAGTTCATTCGCAGGAGTGACCTTTTCTCATTGACTGTATGCTTTACAAAATAATAGAAGTAGTTTAAAAAGTTAGAAACCGGTCCGTGGAGAACCACTTTCTTCAGACACAGATATAAAGGACTGAGAAATCATCGCAAATCATTGCTCTTCTGGTAGTGAACATGATGTTCTTCTAGCAAAACTGAGCAGTCTCAAGGACCCTCTTAAATGGGATGGGGCGAAAAAAAATCCCCTCGGTAATTCTTGTGTGATAATACTCAAATCATTAGCCTGTAGTAAATGGGAACTGTTTTGGACATACTTTTCAGCAATACTAAATGATAGGTACTTCTAACCTCCTCTTGTAGCTCTAGGCACCCAGCCTGCCTGTAAATTAGGTTTTAAACACTTGCTGGATTAAGGAGCTGTCAGCAGAGAAGTGGGAATCCACTAACTAGACTTCTGTGTCCCCTGCAAGGGGAAAACGGGCAATAGTCTCTACAATTCTAAATCTAAAAAGCTCTCAGCTTGTCTCCTGCTCATTTCTGCATGTCCTTTCAGATGCTGGCTACCTCACGCAGGCGACGACGTATCTCTCCCAGGCTCAGTGGCTTGTCCTCAAATCTCCATCGTGCAGCCTCGCCGTCCAGCACAAACTGCACCAGGACCTGGGGCTCCTCCACGCCGCTAAAGGAGACCTCGAGCAGTCACTCCATCACCTGGCCAACGACGTGAGCTGCTTAAAACACCAAAGCCTTTCAGTTTCTCTTCCTTCTTTAACTGTGCCAGTTTGCTATAAAAAAAAGAAAAACAGCAGGCACATTTGTAGGGTGGATTTTGGGTATCAGGAAGGTAAACACGTTGAGAAAACCAGAACTGTCTAGAGCTAAAACACCCATGTCTGTGTGTGTGCACATGCAAAGTGGTGTGTTTGCAGTCACCTTCATTCCCCTGCGTTGTGTATGCCTTGTCTTTGCTCCAGCTGCTCTAGAGTTATCTCTCAGCTCTGTTGTGGTCTGGAGATGAATAGACTTCCGTGCCACAGCCGGTAGAGCTGCCTTTCATTCAGCAGATAAGTTACTTTGGCTGTCATTTTCCTTTATACTTCCTTTTTTGCTTAGGCAACAATTCTCTTTCAACTATTATTTAAGGCACAAAAAGGCACAGGTTGTTTATTTAACTATTTAAATGGCCAGTTCAGTGGCAGTTTCCCTGCTTCAATCTCTTTGGCTGCTAGAGCAGTTTGTCAATTTGGAAATGGCTCTTGCCTGTTGTGTTCCCGAGAGGCTTTGCCTGTTGTTTAATCCACCAGAGAGAGATGCACTCCCTGATTTACCCTTTCTCTGTATCATGTAGAGACTAAAGTTAATTTATTCTGAGTGAATTTAGTTGTAAAGTTAATTTAGTCTGAGTTAATTTAGTCAGAGTGACGAATTTCCATTGCTCTTGGATTTGATGGCAGCCTTTTGCAGCAGCTTTGTGGGTGTAAATGATGACCTAGGATAGAGCAGGATGTTACAATCTATACTACAATGTTATATAGCAATATATATAATATATAAACTCTTGGCTTGGTTTTCTGGGTACCCTGGAAAGGGGCTGGAAAGGGGCTCAGGGAGGAGGGTTTTGCTTTTAGTGCGACTCCAGTATCTGCCGGAGCAGCCCGAGACCTGCCTGAACCCTGGCTGCGTGTCCTGGTCTGCTGAGAGTCACACGCCAGCTCGGAATAGCTGGAATGCAGCTCCCGCTCCCGCCGCGCCGGGGCCGGCTCGGGAGAGCCCGGGAGCTGCCGCCGGGCGAGCGTTTAGAGCAGCGGGATGTGCGGCGTGAGCAGGACGGGTGGGAAAGCTGCCCGTGGAGCGCCAGGGAGAGCAGGGTGGGGGGCAAGATCCCCCACACAAAGCAGAAAACTGCCCCTGCTTTAGCACCACGCTTTACAGCCGGGATCAGGTCTGACTAACACTGCAGCTATGCAGAAAAAGAGGGAATGCTCTCCAACATTAACCCCTCACGGAAACTTTTCCCAAGTCCGTTCTGATATGAGCACTGAACTTATGTGTGTTCTTTTGGTTTTCGAATGCCCGTTTCAGGTTTACCTCGCTACCTGCGCGTTCGGACCAGGCGCTCTTCAGACAGCGGGAGGTTATTTCCAAATGGCCCAAATCTTCCTTCGCCAGAACAAAACGGACGTGGCCAACTCACTGTTTGCCGAGGTTGGTAAAGCCAAAGCTACCTGCTATTTATTTCTTAGCTCTGTCTGTGCTTGAGTTTCCTTGTTCCTGACTGCCTTGAGCATGACAGCAAGTGCATCACGTGCCAGTGTTGCCTCCTGGCTTCAGTCTCAAGCTCTTTTCATAGATAAATATTCCTCTGAGTTGCAGTAAATCCTGCACTTAGTAAAATCTTGCCTTTGGAGTTGCAGTCTTCGATTTGGGCAGCTGAGCAGTGTTAGCAAAATAGCTTTGCTACCAAATGCCCTGGGCAGAGGTTCAAGAGTGCCCCAGGTAGAAAAGGTGGCCCAGGAGTTTCCCTAGGCAGAAGAGCATCTGGGACGTGACGGGGCCATGGGAAATTGAAGGTGAGTAACAGTGAGAAGTCACCCTGATAAGACCTGGCCAGGATGGGGTGATCATGCAAGGACGCAACAACCAATATTCCTAATTACCTAAACTTACACTGTGCAAGTTAACTGGAAAAAAAACCAGCCTTTTTGGGGCTAGCCTGATTTCCTACAGAAATGAGGCTTTTGCAGGGGTGCAGTCTGCCTCCATTCCCTTTGCAAGCCTCAGCCAAATTTGCTTTAGTCAAAAGGTTTGGTTAAATTTGCTGAAGCACAATGATAATTAATAGTCAGGTGGCCAAGAAAGCTTCCAGCCAACGCTCCCGCTGCGGGAAGAGCAGCAGGTCTCCACTTGAAGCGCTCGGCAGCAGCCAGCCCGCTGACCAGGTTATCGTGGCACAGGCTTGTAGCGCAGGGCACGTTGCTCACACCCCAACTAGTTGCTAAACAGCCCGGGCTAATGCAAGTGAAATCATTTCCATTCCCTTCCTGGTAGGTGACAGCCATCTGGCATGCCTTTCTCCTGAAGTCAGTCCAAACGCGGGAGCAGGTTCTTGAGGCGCAAGCAGAAGCATCTCCGTTCGATGAGGACGGGGACATCAGCGAAGAGCCTCTGAGTAAGTTGTAGATTAAGTGGAATAGGTTGGGAGGTGGGATTAAAGAATCCCTATATCCCACTGCCCTCATTTTACTGGGTTATTTTGCTCCCAATGTTTCTGTAGGCCAAATTTAATCAAGCACTGGACCTCATGGTTCTGTCCTACGCTCCCAACTGTGTTCCTTGTCTTCCAACAAGGTAACAAGAGCATTATCAGAGAGGAAAAACGCTGCCGTGGATCCCCTTCCACGGCTTCCTCTTCATCAGCAGTTGCTGCAGCAGAAAGCGCAGCAAGACCGGGCTACCCGATACCATCTTCGGTCATGACAGCAACATGAAAGTTGCTCTTTTCATGCAGCTGTTATGACTCAACATCCTTACTAAAGGCTCATCAACACAATTACTGACAGGATGAAAAGATATCTGTTAATGGGTATGGAATTTGCATGGAGCTGGGATACCACGTTGATGCTTGTAGTGGAAGGGCTTTGATGTCTAGAAGAGATAATTGGACAGTTTTGAATATATTATCTTGCACACATAGAGCCAACAAGATTATTTCTTTCTTGGTGCAGCTGAAGCCCAGCAAACCGAAGCAATTCAAGCACTGAATACAATATTAGATTTCAGAGAAAAGGCACCAAAGCAACAGCCTGATGAAACTGCCAAAGTTTTGCATTCCCTTGCAATGCTTTATTACCTGGCCGGGGATTTATCAAAGGTAGGTCTCACCTGGTGAGGGTTGCTTTTGTCCTCAGGGAAAGGTCACACCGTTTATAGGCATCAAGCACTGTTTGCTCAGGTAACCTTTGCCTCGGTGAACCTGTCGGGTGTTTTATGCTGCCTATCAAACAGGGCTTTGCAGTCAGCATGAACATCCACCTACAAACCCTTGCACGGGTGCTCCACTCCAATGGAGCTCTGCAACTTCATCCTGGGCCAGCTGGGGCCAGGGCACCGGCACAAGAAGCGAGGAACACGAGCAGGCTGTGCCGATCCAGCACCTTTCCCAACGTGGAGGCTCCCTTGGAGCACCAAGGAGCGGTGATGATGGGCCGAGCATTCGAAAAATCACAAGTTTCTTCTGCCTGTCTCTTGGAGGCTGAAAATATGGATCACTAGCAGTGCCTTAATGGTAACCGAAAAGGTCATAATGAGAGTCAGTGGTTGGAAGAGCCAAGTAGACAAATCCAAATTAGAAAAAAAAAAAAAAGGGCAAAGCTTTCTAACTGAGGGTCTAATCACTGGAGCAGTTACCAAGGGAAATGAGGGATTTAGTTTAATAACTGAGTCAATGCAGCTGTTTTTTTCCTGAAATAGATGTGGGAGCGCTCACATGAACTGCTTTATCAGACGGAAAGTAATGATCTCCCGCGGGGGGAGCTGGGCTCCATAATCTCTTCTGTCTGCACAACTGGATCCTAAATATGATGATATCTGTTGGCAGCTTTGCTCCATGCTCTAAAGGAGCTTGCCCAGGTCACCCTCTGAAAGAAGCGGTTGAATTGCCGGAGCCTGGAAGCGATCCAGCGCCTGTTCCCGTGAACCTCCGCGGATATTTCAAGCACCCATTGAGAAAAGGCAGGTTCATCACCGTTGTTTTGTCTCTGCTGCTTCTTTCCAGGCACGGGAAATGGGGGCAAAAGCCTTGGACCTGGTGAAGCAACTGCCCCAGCAAGAGCCTCTGGAGGCCATCGATCATTTGTTAAAGGTGATCGACTCCAAGCCTTTCTATGGGAAATGAGGAGCTCGTTCTAGATCGTCTGCCTTGACGAGATTGCGGAGACCTTAATGCAAACTGCTTACAAAGGGGAGCTCCTTTCTGCTGCTGGCATCCTGGTACACGTGTCCCTTTTCCCTCTCAAGTCATTGAGGGTTAAACTTTGTGGCCCTTTCAGTCGAGCCTCCCGCCGGTCAGCAGGGCAGATAGTTGTGCAGTGACTCACAGGGTGAGGGTGGAAAACCAAAAAAAAACCCAACCAACACGAGGTGAATAAATAATTACCTACCTGCTAGCATGAAGCAAACAGCCTCCTACGTCCTCGCTCCACGTGTGCAGGAGCTAAGGGCAGCCCGGGTGGGCGGTCACGTTTCCCTCCTTCTTTTTGCACCAATTTGCAGGGGGTTCTCGCAGGCCATCGAGGGGCTCCGGAACTTCTGGGCAAATCCACGTCCAGGAAGGGCCATGAGGACAACATTGGGGACCACGCGCAGGGCAGGGGATGCGCAACCTCGGGGCGAAGGCAAAGGCGGCCCAGGAGAAGGGTTAAGGGCAGTTTGGGAGAGGAGCTGGGCACGGGGCGCTGGGGAGCTGCGCGGGCCGCGCCGTGAACTCGCCGCGGACCCCGCGGCATGTGACAGCCCTGTGCTGGGCAGCGAGGGGCAGCTCGCCCCGCTGCGGAGGGCTGCCTTCCCCTGAGCCTTAAGCCGGCGATTAAGTCTCATTTGCTTCAGGGAGGATTTAGGAGGGCGCTTAATTGCCTCGCTGCAGCAGGAGGGAGCCGAGCGCGTTGCAACGCGCGGCTGGGAGATGAGCCGTTAAAGGGGGGGACGCTGCTGGGGAAGGCAGAGGTGCTCACTGCCACCCAGCCCGTGGTTAATGGCATAGGAGGGACAGCCACGTGGGCACGGGGACCCTGGGCCTTGCAGAAGGACCCTGGGTCCCACATGGGGCTCACACGGGGACCCTGGGCCTCACATAGGGACACTGGGCCTCACACGGGGACCCTGGGCCTTGCAGAGGGACCCTGAGCCTTGCATGGGGACCCTTGGCCTCACATGGGGACCATGGGCCTCACATGGGGAGATTGGGCCTCGCATGGGGACCCTGAGCCTCCTATGCGGACCCTGGGCCTTTCATGGGGACACTGAGCCTCACAGAGGGATCCTGGGCCTCGCTGTGGGCCGGGGGAGCGGGCGCCTGCAGGCACCGTGCCCCGGGATGCCGAGGATTTGGGTCACCGCGGCTGGGGATTTGCAAGGGATCTAATCCCCCCGCGCTGGCG